ACTTATTTTGCTAAGCATAATGTTCTCAAGGTCCATCCATGTCATAGCATGTATCAGACTTTCATTTCTCTTTATGGCTGAATAATATTCCATTGTATGGATACACCACAGTTTGTCCATTTGTCTGTTGATGGACATTTTTGTTGCTTCCACCTTTTGGCTATTGTGAATAGTGCTGCAGTGAACATTGGTGTACAGGTTTCTGTTTGCATTCCTGCTTTCAACTCTCTTGGGTATACACTTAAGGGTAGAATTGCTAGGCCATAAGGTATTTTTTTATTATTTTTTTATTGCGCTTTAAGTGAAAATTTATAGAGCAAATTAGTTTCTCATTAAACAATTAATACACATATTGTTTTGTGACATTGGTTGCCAACCCTGTGAGGTGTCTATACTTTCCCCTTCTTAACCTTGGGTTCCTCATTTCCATTCATCCAACTTTTCTGTCCCTCCTACCTTTTTGTCCTTGCACCCTGGGCTGGCGTGCCCTTTTACTCTCATATATGTGGTTGAACTATGTGTTTTATTTTTGTTTCATAGGTCTGTCTAATCTCTGGCTGAAGGAGTGACTTAAGTACTGAATTAAAAGGTGTCCAGGGGCCATACTCTTAGAGTTTCTCCAACCTCTGTCAGACCAGTAAGTCAAGTCTTTTTGCTATGAGTTTGATTTTTGTTCTTCATTTTTCTCCAGCTCTGTCTGAGACCCTTTGTTGTGATCCCTCGTATGACAGTTTTGTTTAGCTTTTTGAGGAACCCCCAAAACTGTAGGCCATGCCTGTGCTGCTTGGGGGTGTGATGTTCAGTGCATGGTGCAGGTAGGCAGGAAGAAGAGGGGAGATTGTGATTTATGTAGCTAAGATGGGTATGGGAAAGAGGAGAGAGAGGAGAGAGGAACAGGAGAGAAAAACAGACAAACAAATAAACAAAAAAGAGTGCTAAGTGAGCTTGCCGTTGGAGTGGAGAGATGAGAGACTGAGAAATGAAGAAAAACAAAAAGAAAAAGGTAAAAGAAAAAATGAATAAATAAAAATTAGAAAGAAAGAAAAGAAAGCCCCAGGGATCTCATGGTGCACCTAGGAGGACTGGGGAAGTTGCTCCCAGGCCGTGAAGTACAGCCTGGCTAGAAGGGGTACAGATGTCACACAGTGCCAGGTATTCAGGAGACAGGAAGAGAAGGTAAACATAGAGAGATGAAAAACTGAGAAATGAAGAAAGACGAAAAGGGGAAAAGAGAGAAAAGAAAAGAAAACAAACAACAATAAAAAAACAAACAAATAAAGAAAAAAGAAATGACCCCAGGGATCCCACTGTGAGGCTGCACAGACTGAGGGAGTAGCTCCCAAGCCAAGCAGTACTGCCGGGCTAGAAGGGGTTCCCAAGCTGAGAAAAGAAAAAGGAAACAAAGAAACAAACAAATTAAAACAAACAAACAAAAGCCCTGGGGATCCCACCAGCATGGCAGCACGGGCTGGGAAGCAGTTCCACAGTCGAGTGACGTTTCACAGCCTTTCAGAAAGAAGCAAAGATGGCACACGGAGCCAGGTATTTGAGAGAAAGGAAGGGGAGGTGGTGAGAGGTATGGAAGAAACCAAAAGTGGAAAAAAGCAACATCCACAACCAACAAATGGCACTCAGAGAGCCAGCCAGTGCTGTTGAGTGGAATCCAAGTGTCACAGGTGTGAAGCCGGTACTTCCTGGACAAGGGACTGTAGCTGCAGAAAGAAGAGAAGGCCGAGTGGGGGTGAAGAAGCGGGGGTGGGAAAACATATATCTCTGGTTATCGGTTGTTCTGTCTCCTGCTGGGAGCTCCCTGAAGCTGCCTTCCCATACTCCTTGTTTGCCAATGTCTGACAGGAGTCCAAGATGGCAGATCAGTGCTGCATTAGCTGATGGGGGACCTCTGCATGTATCTTTCCTCGCTCTCTGTTCTCTGTCAGTTTCTTTCTCCATTCAGTGCTTGGCTGAGTTCTTTACCTCTTCATTTGATGCTTAAGGTTTCAGGATTGATGTTTGTCTCTGTTTGACTTAGTTTTTTGGATTTTTGCTGTGGAGGGATGGTGTGGTGCTTCTGTCTATAGTGCCGTGTTCCCTGGAAGTCCTATCTTACTTTTTTTCCTCAAGAAGAGTTATGTTTTTCTCATTGTGGTTCAAACAAACACAACAGAACATCTGTCAGTTTGAGTTTCCCCATACATAACGTTATTTTACTTTTTATTTAAATTATATACTTTGAATGATTGTTACTGGTGTAAAGGAATGCTGTGATTTTTGTAAGCTGATCTTACCTTCTGCAGCAATTAGTTCTGCCTTACTGTTCTAATTGATTATATCTCGACTCTCTTAGCTATTCTGGTAGATGAGCGTCTCTTGCCATCAATCCGTATATACCTTATTTCCTTTTCTTTCCTTGTAGCATCACTCAAGGCTTTCAGTTCCATGTTAAAGCATGGTAGAGTGAGTATCCTTCACTTGTTCCTGGTTCCAAAGAGAACGTATCTAAAGTTTCTCTATTTATTGCATTTTTGCTAGGTTTGTAGAATCTCTTCTTTAATTGAAAGTAGCCCTGGTGGTGCAGTGGGTAAAGCATTCAGCTGCTAACCGAAAGGTCGGGGATTCAAGCCTGCCAGTCACTCCAAGGGAGAGAGATGGTGCAGTCTGCTTCTGTAAAGATTACAGTCTTGGAAACTCTATGGGGCAGTTCTACTCTGTCCTATAGGGTTGCTATGAGTTGGAATCAACTCAGTTGCAACCAGTTTTTGTCACAAAGGGGAATCTGCTTGACTTTATGGTCACTGTGTCTCCACATTATTTCTTTTTTTCTGTTCTTGAATGCATTTCACATTGGTCAGTGACCTTTGTGAATGTTCCTATACACTCAGAGGAATCTGTCAATCGACTCAATGGCAACGGGTTTTGGTTTATTCTTTAGTTAAAAAAAGTTCCTACGTGGCGCAAAAGGTTTGTGCTCAGCTGCTAACCTAAAAGGTTGGGCATCTGAACCTACCCAGCAGTGCTGTGGAAGAAAAGGCCTGGTGATCTGCTTCTATTAAGATTACAGCCAAGAAAACCCTATGGTGCAGTTCTATTCTGTCCTATAGATCGCTATGAGTCAGAATTGACTCCACAGCAACAGGTTAATCTTTACAGAAGCAGACTGCCACATCTTTCTTCAATGGAGCTGCAGGTGGGTTCCAACTGTGAACCTTTTGATTAGCAGCCAAGCGCTTTAACCACTGCAACGCCAGGGCTCACGTTGTTAAAATTTCTAACTACAATTGCTTAAGGAGCCCTTAAGGAGCCCTGGTGGGGCGAAAGTTAACCACTTGGCTGCTAATCTAAAGGTCAGCGATTCGAACCTACCATCGGCTCTGTGGGAGAAAAGACCTAGCCATCTTCTCTCATAAAGATTACAGCCTAGGAAACTCTATGGGGCAGTTCTACTCTGTCATATGAGTTGGAATCTCCTAGATGGCACACAACAAGAACAGCAATAACAATTGCTTATATAAGTATGTATGTATGTCTCTATATTTCTAGGTATTATCATTTCTATTTTTTATCTATCTCAATGAAGTTGTGTGGATTATTTATTACTTGATGTTCTGAGACATATTGTTGTATAATTTATGATATTTATGCTGATTGCTACAATCTTCTTCTTACCAGTGTAAAGTATTCTTCTTTGTCCCTTAGTGTGTGTACGTGTGCACAAATGTACTTTTAAAATTTCAGAATGCACTTAAAAACTAAGAATGTTTTCCTCATAACTGAAATAACAAGATCACACTAAAAATTAATAATAATTCTTTAATACTATTCCTATCTAGTCCATAATCAAAATGTTCTCAGTTGCCTTAAAAGTACTTAACATCTGGTTTATCTAAATTAGGATAACCTCATTTCATTTGGTTGTTAGGTCCCTTGAGTCCTTTTTGTAACCCTAGTTTGTTGATGAGATCCGACCAATTGTCCCGTAGATGTTCCACTTTCTGAATTTTATTGTTTCTAGTAGTATTTAGTTTATTCCTCTGTCCTCTGTACAATGATTATTCTTTTTGATGCTCAAGTTGTCACAGTTTTGGCCAAAGGCTGTCTTTTCAATCTGGGTTCTGAATCGTTTCAGCATGATCCCATTACTTAATGGAAGTTTCCTTTCATGCTTGCACAAGATATCCGCGAGTTATTTCTACGTCCACACCAGGAATCTGCTGTTTCTCCTGGGAACCCTCATTCCTTTTTGACTGGCATACATTATTAGAGACATTATAATCATGATTGCTTCTTTAAATACATTTTGTCTATTATTAAGATTGTTGCCTCAGCTTTCATGTGATTTGGTTCATATTTTCCTGGGATATATTTGTCCATCCTCGTATTTTGAGTTCAGTACTTCCTGTTCAGTACCTTTATAGTAATAAATGCAAAATATGAAATAACATGGAATAAGTGAGTACCAATAAAACAGTACTACAATAAATATAAATGGGTTAGTAATAAAAGACAGACTCTCAGAGAACTTTTTTAACACCCCAAGATCCAAATATATATTTTCTAGAACAAACACATTATTAAAGAGAATCTGACCCTGATCACGTGTGCCATCTCTAATGACTCCAAACATGAGGCCTATTCTTTATTTTAGTTACCATTAATAATGCACAACTAGTAGCCAAACTCTATCCTAAGCATTTAATATATTGATCTCATTTTCTTTTTATTTCAACACTTAGTCGTAGGAACAGTTATTATTTACTTCATTTTACAAATGAAGAAACTGAGACCCAGAGAAGTTACGCAAGTTGTCTGAAAGTATAGAGCTCTCAAGTTGTCATTTAATCTGTGTCTTAACCAGTTATTGTCAAGGAGATTCCAATGCATGGCGACCCCATGTGCTGTAGAGTAGAACTGTGTCCCATAGGATTTTCAATGGCTGTGACTTTTGGAAGTAGATTACAAGGTCTTTCTTCCAAGGTGCCTCTGGGTGGGTTCAAACTGCCAACCTTTCTGTTTGTAGCTGAGTACTTAACCATCTGTGCCACCTAGAGACTCCAATCTATGTCTAGAGCCTATGTTTTAACCACTGTTCTTCACTCTGTTTCTGATCTCATCAGATGAAGCATCCATGCCTGGTCAGAACCATAGCACTGTGTCTGAATTCATCCTCATTGGCTTCTCCAACTTCCCCCAGCAGCTCATACCAGCTTTCTTCCTCTTGTTTCTGCTGATGTACCTGTTCACACTACTGGGGAACCTGCTCGTCATGGCCACCATCTGGAGTGAGCGCAGCCTCCACACGCCCATGTACCTCTTCCTGTGTGCCCTCTCCATCTCCGAGATCCTCTACACCTTCACCATCATTCCGCACATGCTGGCCGACCTGCTCTCTACCCACCACACCATTGCCCTCGTGGCCTGTGCCAGCCAGATGTTCTTCTCCTTCATGTTTGGCTTCACCCACTCCTTCCTGCTCACAGTCATGGGCTACGACCGCTATATGGCCATTTGCCATCCTCTGCGCTACAACATCCTCATGAATCCCCGGGGTTGTGCTTGCCTGGTGGCCTGGTCCTGGGCTGGGGGTTCTGTCATGGGGATGGTGGTGACAATGGCCATTTTCAACCTCACTTTTTGTGGCCCCAATGAAGTCCACCATTTCTTCTGCCATGTGCCGCCCCTTGTGAAGTTGGCCTGTGGGGACAATGTCTTTGCTGTGGCCAAGGGCGTGGGCCTGGTGTGCATCACAGCTCTGCTGGGCTGCTTTCTCCTCATCTTCCTCTCCTATGCCTTCATTGTGGCCACCATCTTGAAAATCCCCGTGACTGAGGGTCAACACAAAGCCTTCTCCACCTGTGTATCTCACCTTATTGTGGTTGTTGTGCACTATGGCTTCGCCTCTGTCATCTACCTCAAGCCCAAAGGTAGCAACTTTCTGGAAGGTGACACCCTCATGGGCACCACTTACACAGTCCTCACAACTTTCCTCAGCCCCATCATCTTCAGCCTCAGGAACAAGGAGCTGAAGAATGCCCTGAAGAAGACCTTTCTCAGCAAAATCTTTCCCCTGAGCTTCTAAAGTGGCTGATTTTGTGACAGGAGTTGTGGAGATGTGGTGTGCCTCAGTCTTCTGGTTTATAAAACAGGTACGATTACGCTGAACTTGTGGTAAGTCATGTATATAAAACCCCACTTCTCTTAGCAAGGGCTCACTCACCCTCCCTTCCTTCCCCTTTCCTTTCTTCCTAATAATTATGCTGGTAAAAGCTCCCAATTTTTTGAACACTTAATCAATAGGTAGGGATGATCTTTTTTTTTAATAACAACTTTATACCATATAATTCACCCATTTAAAGTGTACAATTCAATAGATTTTAGTATAATCACAGATATGTACAACTATCTGCAATTTTAGAATATTTTCATCACTTCCCTTTCCCTTTAGCTATCTTTAATCCTCCATCCTCCCTGCCCAAGACAACCACGAGTCTACTTTCTGTCTCTGTGGATTTGCCTGTTCCGCACATTTCATATAAATGGAATCATATCCTATGTAAGGAGCCCTGATTGCACAGTGGTTAAGCACTTGGCTGTTAACCAACAGTCAACAGTTCAAATCCACAGCTGCTCTGCAGGAGAAATATGTGGCTGTCTGCTTCCCATAAAGATTTATAGTGTTGCAATAATTGCACAATCCAAAAAGAAGAAAGGGCCAAAATAAAAAAATTAACCCTACAACTCAAACTAGTAGAAAGAGAGCATCAAAAGAAGTCTTCGGGCACCAGAAGAAAGGAAATAATAAGAATTAGAACAGAATTAGATGATAAAGCATAGAAAAACAATAGTAAGAGTTAACAAGACCAAAAGTTGGTTCTTTGAAAACAGCAACAAAATCTATAAACCACTGGCCAAACTGATAAAAGAAAAACAGGAGAGGAAGCAAATAATCTGAATGAGATATGAGATAGTGATATCACAACAGACCCAACTGAAATTAAAAGAATCATAACAATACTATGAAAAATTGTACTCTAACAAATTTGAAAACATAGAGGAAATGATCAAATTTCTAGAAACTCACTTCCTACCTAAACTAACACAAACAGAGGTAGAACAACTAAATAAACCTATAACAAAAGAAGAGATTGAAAAGGTAATTTAAAAACTTCCAACCAAAAAAGCCCTGTCCTTGATCGTTTCAGTGGAGAATTCTACCAAACTTTCAAAGAAGAATTAACACCACTACTACTAAAGGTATTTCAGAGTATAGAAAATGATGGAATACTCCCAAACTCATTCTATGAAGCCAGCATAACCCTGAGACAAAAACTAGCTAAAGACACCACAAAAAAGAAAATTGCAGACCAATATCCCTCATGAACATTAACTCAAAAACCCTCAACAAAATCCTACCCAATAGAATTCAACAAAAGATCAAAAAAATAATTCACCATGACCAAGTGGGATTTATACGAAGAACTCAGGGATGGTTCAACATTAGAAAATCAATCAATGTAATCCATACATAATGTCTTAGTCATCTAGTGCCACTATAACAGAAATATCATGAGTGGATGGTTTTAACGAAGAGAAGTTTATTTCCTCATAGTTAAAGTAGGCTAAAAGTCCAAATTCAGGGCGTCAGCTCCAGGGGAAGGCTTTTTCTCTCAGTCATCCTTCTTCTTTTCTGTTTTCCCCCAAACTAGGAGCTTCTCTGTGCAGCCACCCTAGTCCAAAGGACGCGCTCGGCTCCCAGCACTGCTTTCTTGATGGTATGAGGTCCCCAACTACCTGCTTGCTTCCCTTTCCTTTTGGTGCAGGCCACACCCCAGGGAAACTCCCTTTACATTGGATCAGGGATGTGACCTGGGTAAAGGTGATGTTACACTCCCACCCTAATCATCTTTAACATAAAATTACAATCACGAAATGGAGGCCAATCACACAATTCTGGGAATCATGGCCCAGCCAAATTGACACACATATTTTTGGGGGGACATAATTCAAACCATGACATGTAAATAAAACAAAAGACAAGGATCATATGATCTTATCAATTGATGCAGAAAAGGTATTTGACAAAGTCCAACACCCATTCATGATAAAAGCTCTCAGCAAAATAGGAAGGGAAGGGAAATTCCTTAACATAATTAAGGGCATTTATACAAAGCCAACAGCCAATATCATCCCAAATGGAAAGAGTGTGAAAGCATTCCCCCTGAGAATGGGAACTAGACAAGGATGCCCTTTATCACCACTCTTATTCAACATTGTGCTGGAGGTCCTTGCCAGAGCAATTAGGCTAGAAAAAGAAATAAAGGGCATCCAGATTGGTAAGGAAGAAGTCAAAGTATCTCTATTTACAGATGATATGAGCTTATACACAGAAGACCCAAAAGAATCCACAAGAAAACTACTGAAACTAGTAGAAGATTTCAGCAAAGTATCAGGATACAAGCTAAACATACAAAAACCAGTTGGATTCCTCTACGCCAACAAAAAGAACTTCCAAGAGGAAATCAGTAAATCAACACCATTTACAAGAGCCCCCAAGAAGATAAAATACTTAGGAATAAATCTAACCAGAGACGTAAAAGATCTATACAATGAAAACTACAAGACATTACAGCAAGAAACCGAAAGAGACCTGCATAAGTGGAAAAACATATCTTGTACATAGATAAGAAGACTCAACATTGTGAAAATGTCAATTCCACCCAAAGTGATCTACAGATACAAGGCAATCCTGTTCCAAATTCCAAAGGCATTTTTTAATGAGATGGAGAAACAAATCACCAACTTCATAGGGAAAAGGAAGAGGACCTGGATAAGTAAAGCATTACTGAAGAAAAAGAACAAAGTGGGAGACCTCACACTACCTGATTTTAGAACCTATTATACCACCACAGTAGTCAAAACAGCCCAGTACTGGTACAACAATAGATACATAGACCGGTGGAACATAATTGAGAATCCAGACGTAAATTCATCCACCTATGAGCAGCTGATATTTGTCAAGGCCCAAAGTCAGTTAATTGGGGAAAAGACTGTCTCTTTAACAAATGTTGCTGGCTTAACTGGATATCCATCTGCAAAACACTGAATGAAACAAGACCCATACCTCCCACCATGTGCAAAAACTCAAAATGGATCAAAGACTTAAACATAAAATCTAAAACCATAAAGATCATGGAAGAAAAAGTAGGATCAAAGCTAGGAGCCTTAATACATGGCATAAACAGAATACCAACCATAAGTAACAATGCACAAACACCAGAAGAGAAACTAGATAACTGGGAACTGCTACAAGTCAAACACTTACGCTCATCAAAAGACTTCACCAAAAGAGTCTCAGAAGACAACCTACAAACTGGGAAAAAAATTTTGACTTCGACAAATCCAATCAGGGTCTAATCTCTAAAATCTACAAGAAACTGCAAAACCTCAACAACAAATAACTTAATTAAAAAATGGGCAAAGGATATGGTCATGGATGGAATTGTGCTCCCCCAAAATATCTGTTAATGTGGCTAAGTCATGATTCCCAGTATTGTATGATTGTCTACCATTCTATCACCTGATGTGATTTCCCTATGTGTTGTAAATACTATCACTATGATGACAAGACGGATTAGTGGCAGTTATATTCATGAAGTCTACAAGATTAGGTAGTGTCTTAAGCCAATCTCTTTTAAGATATAAAATAAAGAAGTCAACAAAGAGACATGAGGGACCTCATACTACCAAGAAAGCAATTCTGGGAGCGGAGTGCATTCTTTGTACCTGAGGTTCCTGAGCTGAGATGCTCCCAGACCAAGGGAAGACTGATGACCAGGACCTTTCTCCAGAGCCGATGGAGAAAGAAAGCTTTTCCCTGGAGCCAGCGCCCTGAATTTGGACTTCTAGCCTACTGGACTGTGAGAGAATAAACTTCTCTTTGTGAAAGCCATCGACTTATGGTATTTCTGTTATAGCAGCACTAGACGACCAAGACAAATATGAACAGGCACTTCAGCAAAGAAGACATTCAGGTGGCTAACAGACAAAGAAATGCTCAAGATCATTAGCCATTAGAGAAATGCAAATAAAAACTACAGTGAGATACCATCTCACCCCAACAAGGCTAGCATTAATTCAAAAAACACAAAATAATAAATGTTGGAGAGGTTGTGGAGAGACTGGAGCACTTATACACTGTTGGTGGGAATATAAAATGGTACAACCACTTTGGAAATTGATTTGGCGCTTTCTTAAAAAGCTAGAAATAGAAGTACCATACGATCCAGCAATCCCACTTCTTGGAATATATCCTAGAGAAATAAGATCCATCACACGAATAGATATATGCACACTCATGTTCCTTGCAGTACTGTTCACGTAGCAAAAAGATTGAAACAGCCTAGGTGCCCATCAATGGACAAATGGATAAACAAGTTGTGGTATAGTCACACAATGGAATACTAGGCAATGATAAACAGCAACGATGAATCTGTGAAACATCTTATAATGTGGAGGAATCTGGAAGGCATTATGCTAAGTGAATTTAGTCAGTTGCAAAAGGACAAATATTGTATAAGACCAGTATTATAAGAACTCAAAAAAAGTTTAAACACAGAAGAAAACATTCTTTGATGGTTACGAGGGTAGGGAAGGAGGGAGAGGAGTATTCACTAGCTAGATAGTGGACAAGAATTATCTTAGATGAAGGGAAGGATAGTACACACTACCAGGGAAGTCAGCACAACAGACACTTCACCAAAGAAGACATTCAGGCTGCTAACAAACATATGATGAAATGCCCATGATTATTAGCAATTAGAGAAGTGCAAATCAGATAACATTTAACCCAACATTACCAGCACTAATACAAAAAAAAACAGGAAATAACAAATGTTGGAGAGGTTGTGGGGAGATTGGAACTCTTATGCACTGCTGGTGGGAATGCAAAATGGTACAACCGTTATGGAAAACAGCTTGATGCTTCCTTAAAATGCTAGAAATAGAAATACTATATGATTCCTAGCTATATATGCTAAAGAAATGAGAGCTGTTGCACGAATACACATATGTACACCTATG